TGTGTTTCTTAGGTGCACTTGGCCATTCAAAAATAAACTTCTGAGTTGCTTTGGCTTCATGCTGTGGGTCAGTGTCCACTTGTATTATGAAATGCTGACCAGTTTGACCGCATTTGGCTGGATCTGAGCACACAGTATGTCTCTGACTACCTCAGAATTCATCCGTCTGCTTCTGTCCTGTGTCACATCATCAATAAACACTAGTAACTCAACGAGCCACGAGCAGCCATGTATGTCCAAACTGTCACATTGTGCCCAGCATGTTTTACAGATGATGTAGTATGCTTTGGATCATGAGCTGTACCACGCCTTCGCCATACTTTTTTTTTCCATCGTTCTGGTAGAGGTTGATCTTGGTTTCATCTGTCCAAAGAGTGTTCCTCCAAAACTGTGTTGGCGTTTTAGATTTTTTTTAGCAAAGTCCAGTCTAGCCTTTTTATTCTTGAGGCTTATGAGTGGTTTTCAGTTTTCAGTGAACCCTCTGTATTTACTTTCATGCAGTCTTCTCTTTATGGTAGATTTGGATTTGGATATTGATACTTCTACTTCCTGGAGAGTGTTGTTCACTTGGTTGGCTGTTGTGAAGGGGTTTCTCTTCATCATGGAACTATGCAATATGTGCAACACTGTTGTCTTCCGTGGGTGTGCATTGATGCATTTACCAGTGATTTCTTTCTTTCTCAGGAAGTACCAAACTGTACCTTTTGTCACTTCTAATATTGTAGCAATTTCTCAGATTCTTTTTTGTTTGTTTCACAGCTTCAGAATGGCTTGTTTCACCTGCACGGACAGCTTCTTTGATCACGTTTTCTTCACAGCAAAATCTTCCAACAGACCTCAAATCAACTCCAGGCCTTGCTTAATTGAGAATTACTGTACATAATTCAAAAAAGACTTTGAGTCAATTGTCTAATTATTTGTGGTCCCTTTAAAAGCAGGGTGGGCACATAAGGAGTTGAGCACCTAAACCCTTCATCCAATTTTGATGTGGATACCCTCAAATGAAAGCTGAAAGTTTTGACTTTATGTCCATGTCCTTAATATAACTTTAACTTGACTTTGGACACTGACAGTTTGTTTTTACTGAAACAAACATGTATGGACCTAATTTTATGTGTAAGAAATCGGTTACTTTTGTTWGAAATTGATCTGGAGTTCTGAACTTCACAACAGATACATTTATGTCATTTTTATGCAAAGAAAAAAATAATAATTTTAAACAACCTAAATAAAAGGTTGGTTAGGTTCAGTGGGATAAGATTTAACCTTCCTTCCTCCATGTGGGACTCATGCTGGGGAAGGTGTCTTAGCAGACCCCGGGCCTTGCCAAAGCTTTCCCATCAACCGAACACAAGATCAGGTGTCGCCATCTTCACAGCCCCTTCTGGTTCTGTTTAATAGGAAATGAAGTTCATCAGAAAAACTCTGACCAAAACTGAGCCAGAATGGGCCCTGACAKGCTGGAATATCAGGCTGTGACAGCAGTCAGTAATTGAATGATCGGCTGCCCCCCTCCCTTTACTCGTAATGAAGAGAGTATGTGCAGAGAATGTGTTTGTCCTTTTCCATCCTTCATCTGCCCCTTTCCCTTTCTTCGCCCCCTTCTTCTTCACCCCTTAATAAATCATTTGTGGGAGCAGAAAATAGGGATAATTTTACTTCACTTCAAAGTGCTCCTTATGGTGTCATTTCTGCAACCTCAAAGTGATGATGCATTAGAAAGGCTTTGGTGAGCTCCATCAGAGAGCATTTCCCCCTGAAACAAAGCCGTGCTGGTAGTATCGTGAGAGAGCGAGCTGAAGTACATGAGAGATCAATTATCACACCTCATTTTGGTCTCGTATGCAAAATGATAATGGGCGTACCATGTCTGTCCTGAATCATCAGGTGCTGTATCGTCTCTCCATAAATGTGTTTCACAGATTTTCTGATGGGGTCTGCAAAATCCCTTGAACAGTTAAAAAGCTGAAGGGAAAAGAATTTGCCTCCTCCTTGATCTGTCTTCAAATGTCCCTCTGTGGACACGACTTAAGAGTAATAAACCCACAGGATAACCCTAACACTCAGCGTGATATCACGACACACTTGTAAACACTATTTCACATTAAAGAGTTTGAAAAAAAAGAAGAGTTTCTGGTTTTTGTGTGTTTGTCTGCAAATTGTGGGTCAACTTTGTCATGTTTCCATGAAATGCATTAATACATAAGATGCAAAGATGCTTGTGTTGAAGGCAGGAGTGGKGGAGAGGGGATATTGCAGAGGAAGTGTGGGGCACAGCTTTGAGATGCAGCTTCATGTTTTGGCATCACTCTGTGGTGGGGGTGGGGGTGGGGGGGTGGAATATCCTGCAAAGGAATCCTAATACAGCAATTGCTTGGAGACTTTCTCCAATTAATTTTCCTTTTGGATTTTTAAAACCTGCAACAAAAATTTTGTTGTAGTGTGTTGAAGCTGGAATGCCTGTCAGACTGGGCCCTGACCCTGGGCCGGCTGCTATAATGACGGGAAGATGAAAGAGCCAGGCCCATTCCCAGGCTGCCCTGTTAGGGGGTGCAAGCCTGTGAAATGGAGAGATAATGGAGACCAGGTGTGCTGTGGATGCCTGAGATGATCCTCAGTCAGTCTGAGAGCTCCTCTCAGTGAGAGGGAGGGTACACTACTCCAGATGGAAATTAGTTTGACCACCACTCTGTTTTTCATCTTTATTGCATACATACAGGGTGTAAATACTGAAAACTGCACACGCAAAAACTTCTGCTCAAGTTGGTGGAAATGAGCACTTTCTGACAGATTTTTTCTTCTCATTAAACAAACAGCTGATTTCATTTGTGAAAGCTAAAAATTAGCCCCATTTCTGATCATGTGTCTGCGTGGTACTCATAAACAGGATAATTATACCAATAAGGTTTTTTTTGAGCATTTCCCCTTTGTGTCTATAATTAATTTAAAAGTATTGAAGTTTTAAACGAAAGCTCAGACCAGCTGCCCACAAAAGTGTTTCTAATTGGACCAGACAGGCTTGCAATCCTCCGCTGTAATTGCAATCTAATTAGCAGCCAGCTAGCAGAATCCTACATGCCATTTAACACGGAAAAAATTTAACCCTTCTCGAGAATCATCTGAGAGCGCGTGTTTGCAAGACTGTTGCAGATCCTGGGGGAGAAACAGTTTGCCCCACTTCTGTCCTCGACAGGAGGTCAGTAAATGYCAATTGACCTGAGAGCTGAAAATTCTGAAGAGGGACTCAAGTCAAGATAAGTCCTCATTAACGCTTTCCACGTAAGAGCTGGATGAATGATTAATATAAAACATTGATTGCGTATAAATAGGAAGTTTTTCTTTATCATCACGGCTTATTGTCTTCCTGAAATTAGTGCATAATTATACTAACAGGCCCCTACAGAGTCTTCTTTTTGAATTCTTATTTGCAAAGGAGTAGGGCCAGTGACAGTCGTCATAATGAGAAATAATATAAAGTCAATTTATAAGGACATTTCTGAAAGGTATTTTAAAATAATAAATAAAATCAAATAAAAATGTTCTAGTTGACTGTAGAAATAGCTGTTGTTCAAAATAGCCTTTCTTGTCTCCATTTAAATGTGTTTCAAATTTAGAAATTCAACTAGCAACTGTAAGCTGTTAACATTTTTACTTGTTGGTGAGTTATTCTAAAAGTTTAC